AAAAAAAAAAAAAAAAGTATGCTTGCCCAGTGTTAGGGATGACAGGACCAAACCTAGCGAGGCCAAGTGGACCACTAGGGACGGCACCTGCTCTCCAGCTTGCCCTAAACATGGAGGATTGAGGGAAGGGGACAGGGCCACTTGCTTCTCCTCCTTGATGGACTGGATGCGTTCAATGAGAATCTCCTTCTCCCGGTCCTCATCGCCACCAGCCGCCTCCTCCTCCAGCAGCACCTCCAGCTCCTCCCCCTGGTTCTCCCGGGCCTTGGGACTCTTGTTCTGAAACAAAGAAGCAGGGGGTCTAACTGACACTTCCGGGTGGGCAAAGTTAGTGCTGGAGGTGAGCGCAGATTGCAGGAGGTTAGTTCTGATGTGCACGTGCTGGGCTCTTAGTGAGACTTCTCTAGGAATCCCACGGGATAGGTCATGTGACCGATTAGTCATCCTCAGCGCAGAAGGTCAGCAGGCAAGGGATGTCCCTAGCATGCACTTCTGGAAGGTTAGGACAGGCTCCGTCTATCCTACGAGGAGTCCAGGGCCCCAGGGAACCCCAGCATGCACTGCACCGGGAGACATGCACCGTGGGCCCCCCGCACGCGTACATACCAGGACTCCCTCATAGGGAGATGAAAACCCCAGTTTGAGAGGCCATGGCTGGGAGAGAGATGAACACAGGGTGACCACATGGGCCGAGACAGACATAGGCATGAGCTGGGGACACATCCAACGACCCGCACCAAGATGGGAGGGGAGTCCCTGGTTCCCACAGGAGCCCAGAACCTGCTCTCCACTAACGTACCCCTGCACTGTGGGCCTGATTCTTCTGCTATGAGAACATTTCCCTGTGGGGAGGGCCCAGGTCAGAAGGGACAAGGCTGGACTAATGACCTGAACCACCAGCAAGTGGCCAACCGGCCCCGCTACCTGCCCCATCTAGAGGGACACGATTGGAATGAGGCTGAGCGAAGACCATGGTCTTTGTTCAAGGCAGGAGGTCTGTCCCGGCCTGCATGGCCAGGTGGCCCCGGCCAGGCTGCTTGTGGCAAACCGTGTGGCGGGAGTAGGCGGGGAACTGGGAAAGGAGGCCCCAGACCACACCCACTGCCCAGTCCCACCCTCCGCATGGGAGGTCCTGCCCACCCAAGGCCCCTCCCACCAAGACCCCGCCCACCAGCCTTCCCAGCAACAAAGCCCAGCTCAGCAGCAGAGACCCCGCTCACCAAACGAGGCCCCGCCCCCTCGATCACCGATACTCACAGCATTTTGTCGAAGAAGCGACAGCCTGCGGAAGGCGATACTCTCTGCAGCCTCCAGTTGGCTGATCTCTTCCATCTTCACCTTGTATTTCCTCATCTGCTCCTTGATCAGCATTTCCACGCACCTGCAGAGAAGGCCCACGGGAAGAAGTGACTCAGTTACGTCTCTGAGGACGTTTGACATCCAGGGAGGTGCTAGCTGGTACCTGGGGGGCAGTGGCTGAAGCCCAGAGACCAAGCAGTGCCTGGGACACGGCTGTGTGACCTTCGGCAGCTCACTCTACCTCTCTAAGCTCAATGCAACCTCCGCCCCCTGGGTTCAAGCAATTCTCCTGCCTCAGCCTCCTGAGTAGTTGAGATTACAGATGCCTGTCACCACATTTGGATAATACACACACACACACACACACACACACACACACACACACACACACACACACACATATCCATATATATACTTACTTTAATTTTTTTTTTTAGCTGGAGTCTCACTTTGTCACCGAGGCTGGAGTGCACTGGCACGATCTCAGCTTACTGCAGCCTCTGCCTCCCAGGGAACTGACATTATAGGCACGTGCCACCATGCCTGGCTAATTTTTTTTTTTTTTTAGATGGAGTTTCATTCTTGTTGCCCAAGCTGGAGTGCCATGGCACGATCTTGGCTCATTGTGACCTCTGCCTCCCGGGTTCAAGCGATTCTCCTGCCTCAGCCTCCCGAGTAGCTGGGATTACAGGCATGTGCCACCAGGCCTGGCTAATTTTTTGTATTTTTAGTAGAGATGGAGTTACTCCATGTTGGTCAGGCTGGTGTTGGAACTCCTGACCTCAGGTGATCTGCCCACCTCGGCCTCCCAAAGTGTTGGGATTATAGGCATGAGCCACTGCACTCGGCCTAATTTTTGTATTTTTAATAGAGACAGGGTTTCACCATGTTGGCCAGGCTCGAACTCTTAACCTCAAGTGATCCACCCACCTCAGCCTCCCAAATTGCTGGGATTACTGGCATGAGCCACTGTGCCCGGGCTAATTTTTAAATCTTCTGTAGAGACAGGGTCTCACTACGTCGCCCAGGCTGGTCTCAAACTCCTGGCCTCAAGTGATCCTCTTGCCTTAGTCCCAAAATAGCTGGGACTACAGGTGTGATCCGCTGCACTTGGCTCTGGACTTTTCTGACACATTTCTGTACACAGCGCTAGATGGAGCTGTCGTGGGGTCCCCGGCGGGGCTGCCCTGAGCTTGCCTCTGGGGCGGGGCGGGCACTCACGTGGTGATCTTGAGGACATCCTTCATGCTGGTCAGCGGGTCGGAGCTGTCGGGGCAGCGCAGGAGGCAGGGTGCGAAGATGATGGCCAGCGCCCCGGGCGACATGCGGTTGACTTCCTCCAGCAGGGCCACCCTGCACAGCCACTGGCAGTTAGGGGGCGGCTGTGGCTGAGGGAGGGAGGGCCCAGGGAGCCCTGAGACTGAACTTCTGAGCCCTGGGGTGGCTATCGGGACAGCGGTGCCGCAGCCCAGCACTGGGAAATGCTTCTGAAGCACAGAGAGGTGACTCAAGGGACCCGGGCGGCCCAGCAGCCCAGTGGGCATGGCCCTCTCCCAGAACCCCGGCAGTGGTTCTCGAAACCACCACAGAATGCCAGCCCGGGTCCTACTGGGACATGCTGCCTTGGGGGTTCCCAATGCGGACACCAGCCCCACAGAGGGCAGGTGGGAGGCACTTGCTTGACAAGGTGGAAGATGAGTCTCTCCAGGGAGTTGTGATTGGCTTGTGGAAGGTGCTCCAGGACAGCGTAGATGGCAGCCAGCTGCTCCTGCTTCTCCGGCAGCTCTGTCGGGGATGGGGTTTGAGGGCGTCGGCTCCCAAGGGTCCCCAAGGTGCCTGTGGTCCCCACCCACACGACCTGAGATGCATGGGTGCCACCCACCGTGTGGTGCCCAGGCAAGAATGGATGGCTATGGTGGTGTCTCGGCCCCACCCCACACTGGGGACCTGCATTGGCTGGGCTGACTGCTTCTGGCTTCCGTTTCTCAGCTTGTGAACCAGGTGGTCCCGCCTCCCTGGCTGGCCACAGTGAGTGCTGCACCCTGACCGGGGCTGCCTGCTGCCGCCCGCACCACCGTGGGGCTCACCGACGGCTCGGAGGAAGTCGCCGTACTGTGCGAAGGTCATGAGGGGCTCCGGCAGCTCGCGCAGCCACTGCTTCAGCACCCCCGTGATGGCGTGGATGGGGAAGTTCTCCAGCTTGACTGCTGCAGGGTCTGGGAGGTGGGCGGGGTGGGACTGGTGAGTGGCATGCTGGTGGGATGGCTGAACCAGGGGCCTGGCACTGCGCCCACCTGCCCGCAGCGCCCACCTGTTTGCAGCGCCTGCCTGAGCTCCCGAGTGCGGTTGGCGGCGCCCGACTTGCGGTAGAGGCCCTCAGTGTACAGGCCATGCATCTCCACGTGTTCCAGGAGCTTCTCCAGCACGATGGGCACTGAGGCCTTGTCACTGGTCAGGCTGTCCACGCACACGCCGAAGTGGCCCGGCTCAGCGCCCGACTCGCCCTGCGGTGCCGGGGGTCAGGTCTGGGGCTGGTTGTCTTCCTCTCCGGCCATCTCTGGGGGTCCCTCCCTCCTGGTCCCACACCAGGCCCTCGGGGCTTCCTGTGTATGTTCTGTCCCTCCCTGTCCCCTTTTGCATGGCTGTCAGGGATATGGGGCTGCAGAGATCAGCTGAGGCCAGTGTGGCAGCCTGACTCTTGCTGCACCCCCAGCACTCAGGACCCCACTGTCCTTATGCACAGAGTTGAGGGGCCTCCTTCTGCGTGGCTCAGGGCTGTCTCAGGAGCAAGGATAAGCAGGGCTGGGGGAGCTGAGACACAGGCACAAATCTGGGCCCTGCCTGGGGACTTCAAGGGGTTTGGATAGAATCAGGGACAAGGGAGTGTTCTGCAGAACCAGAGACCACAGCCGCCCCCTGCTGGCTGCCCAATGCCTCGCTTGGCCCTCACACCAAGCACCACCTCCCTGTGCACCTGGCCCTGAGTGGAGTGTCATTCTAGAAAGTTCCAGGCCTCACGCACTCACCTTCCTCCCGTAGGTGTAGGAGCAGTGGCTCTGAATCTTGTGCACGCACTTCTTGTGGCAGGTCATTTTACACACTAGGAGGTCACAGGGTGGGAGTCACAGAGGGTGCTGGGGACCCCAGGTTCCTGGAGCCGCCCACCCAGCTGGCTGGGGACCGCAGACTGCCTTCTTATTTATTTTTGAGACGGAGTTTCGCTCTTGTCACTGAGGCTAGAGTGCAATGGCATGATCTTGGCTCACCACAACCTCCATCTCCCGGGTTCAAGCAATTCTCCTGCCTTAGCCTACCAAGTAGCTGGGATTACAGGCATGCGCAACCACCCCCAGCTAATTTTATATTTTCAGTAGAGACAGGGTTTCTCCATGTTGGTCAGGCTGGTCTCGAACTCCCAACCTCAGGTGATCTGCCTGCCTTGGCCTCCCAAAGTGCTGGGATTACAGGCATGAGTCACCACGCCCGGCCCGGACTGCCTTCTTTTTGATTTCCTTTTTTTTTTTTATTTTTGAGACAAAGTCTCACTGTTGCCTACGCTGGAGTGCTGTGGTGCAATCTTGGGGCTCACTGCAACCTCCACCTCCCAGGTTCAAGTGATTCTCCTGCCTCAGCCTCTTGAGTAGCTGGGATTACAGGTGCCTGCCACCATGCCCAGCTAATTTTTATATTTTTAGTAGAGATGGGGTTTCACCATGTTGGCCAGGATGGTCTCAATCTCCTGACCTCAACTGACCTGCCCACCTCGGCCTCCCAAAGTGCTGGGATTACAGGTATGAGCAACTGGGCCCGGGCCTGAAGACCTCTTGAGCAGTGAGGGGTGGTGGGGGACGTGGAGGGGTTTGGGGCCTGGGGGAGCTACTCACCGCTGCAAAGCAGGGCCTTGTCCATGAGCCAGATGTAGGAGAGGCACTGCTCGCACGACTGTGGGATGCTCACCTGATAGCTGGCGAACACGTGCCCGTTGTGCTCCTGGACCTGTGAGGCCAGAGGAAGGTGCTGAGCGGGGGAAGGGGAAAGCAGCCCTCCCTGGCCACTGGTGGATGATGGTCCACGGGATCTCAGGGGTGGGTCTGCTATTCAAGACTACAGCTGCTTGTGTACTGGGGGAGAAAACCCACTTGCACGTATACACACACACATCCACGTGCACATCGGCCCATGTACACGCTGACACTGACACCCACGTGCATGCTCCCGCCAACGCTCGCCTGCTTAGCTCTCACCCATGTGCAGCCTACTCACAGCGCGCTCCTGCTTCCGCTTCTTCTTCTGAGCTTTGCTCTGCTGTGACGGACAAGGAGGAGGTCAACAGGGGGGAGAAGAGGCCCTGGGATGAGCCCCAACCCACCCCTGGCACCCCATACCCAGGCGTCTGGGTACCTTTAGCCTTTCCTTGCCTGGTGTGGCATCATTGTCCCTATCGCCCCCCAATTCAGACACCCCAGACCCAGAAATGAGTCCCTGTGTGTCGGGGGGGGTGGGGAGGGTGCAGGGCTCCCCACCAGGAGGTAGGGATGGCGCAAATGGGCGTGACATGGTATAGGTGGGTGTGGCATGTGCTCATGGCAAGGCACGGGTCAGTGTAGCATGTTGTATGTCATAGGTGTGGCATGTCATAGGTGGGCATGGGGTATCTGATCATGGCATGGCACAAGTGGGTGTGGTGTGGGCAGTGCATGGGTGGGTGTGGCATGTCATAGGTGAGTGTGGCATAAGATCATGGGGAGGCATGGGTGAGTGTGGCCAGTCAGGTGGGCATGGCAAAGTGATAATGGCATGGCATGGTGGGCGTGGCATGTCATAGGCAGGGCACAAGATCATGGAGAAGCATGGATGGGCGTGGCTAGTCATAGGTGGGTGTGGCATAAGATCATGGGGAGGCATGGGTGGGTGTGGCCAGTCAGGTGGGCATGGCAAAGCGATAATAGCATGCCATGGTGGGCGTGGCATGCCACAGGTGGGCGTGGCATGCTTGGGCTGCCCACCTTCACTGTCTCGAAGTCATTCTTGGTGTAGCCACGGGTGAATTCATCTAGCAGCGACTGGAAGAGGTTGAGGACCAGGTTGGTGTCCTTCTCACCCCGCTCGGTGGCCAGGTTGCTGACGACGATCTGGTAGTTCTCCATCAGATCCTTGTAGCCCACGTGGATTTTCCCATTCTGTGGGAATGCCAGGCGTCACCCTGAGGGCCTGGGCGAGGGGCGGACAGAAATGACAGGTCGGGGGAGGGCATCGGAAAAGCTGAGGGCCGGGCCACCACGTACCGGGACGGAGTACATGGTTTTGATATTGCTCCTGAACTTCTCGGTGGCCTCGATGAACAAGCTCTCGATGGGCGTCTTCTGGGAACGGAGGTCATTTATCTGGAAGGAGAGAGCAGCTGACCCTGCGTGCCTCAGGCCTGGGAACCTGCGTGCCCGAGGAGGTTCCCAGGGGTCACTTCTTCACTTCTGTTCTCTCTAAGTCATCCCCTTGGCTCTTGGGATAAAATCCAGCTCCTCTGGCCAAGCCTGATGTCTCATCGTTTCAACCCAGAGTTAAAGCTACTGACATTGAGGACAGGACTATTCTCCACAGTGGGGTCTGCCCTGTGCACCACAGCGGGTTAAGCAGCATCCCTGGCCTCTGCCCAGCAGATGCCAACAGCACCCTCCCCCCAGGTGGTGAATAACCCCAAATGTCCCCAGACATTGCCAGTGTTCCCTGGAGGACAGAATGCCCCCTAGATGAGAGCTACAGGTCAGTTCAGGTCCTTTCCGCTGCCCCACACAGGGGTTCAGTACCCAACCATACCCTAGGACGCGGAGGCCTTGAATGGCCTGGTCATTTCAAGATGCCTCTACTCCTAGGAGGGTTTCCTGATCCTTCTGTGTCCCCATCGGCCCCATGTGCAGCTCCCAAATGGAGCTCTGTCTGTTGCAAGATTGCCCACCCCCCACCCCCATGGAGTATAACCCTCCTGAGGGCAGCCACAGCCTGTTCGCCTCCATTTCTCTTGCACACTGTGCTTCATCCATCTTTGCTTTGACACCATGTGCCTTATTATTTTTTTGAGCCAGGGTCTTGTTCTGTCACCCGGGCTGGAGTGCAGTGGTGCGTTCATGGCTCATGGTTCCTTGACCTGGGCTCAAGTGATCCTCCTGCGTCAGCCTCCCCAGGAGCTGGGACTATAGGTGTGCACCATCACACCAGTGAATTTTTAAACCTTTTGTAGAGATGGGGTCTCTCTGTTGCCCAGGCTGGTTTTGAACTTCTGGGCCAAACTGATTCTCCCACCTTGGCCTCCCAGGGTGCTGAGATGACAGGCATAAACCACTGTCCCCGGCCTGAACCTGAACTTTGTATTCTTTTTATTTTTTAAATTTTTGTTTGAGATGGAGTGCTTCTCTATCACCCAGGCTGGAATGAAGTAGCGCCATCGCAGTTCACTGCAACCTCTGCCTCCTGGGTTCAAGCGATTCTCCTGCCTGAACCTCCCGAGTAGCTGAGACTACAGGTGCGTGCCACCACAC